TGGATGGTGACTACTTCCCAAACATGAAAAGAAATCTTTGACTAATAAGAAATAGCAACCTAATAATAAACGTCAGCCAAAAAACGCTAACTTTCTGAGAGATTTATTTGTATATACTCATCCTTGATTAACGCATCCAATTACATGCAGTGTTTTCAAATGGAAAACCCATAACCTGCTTGTACTGTTTTAGGATAAAAATTTCATGTCGAAAGGTGCATGAAAAAGCAATATCTATATTATAACTCTAAATAAGCGCTTGAAAACAAATTCTGTTTCCACACCACATTTTAAAATTACAGTATGAAGTACTGAAAAATTAGAAATGAAAATGAGATGAATTAACTTTAAAATTTCACTTAAATTTATTAATTTTCGAAAAAAGAAAAAAAAGAGAAAAGAGAAAACTTTTTTCTGACAGGAAAAAAGTACGAAGGCAAGGCCGATAGCAAAGTGGTGCAATATTTTGATAAGCATAATAAATTTCAAAGTATAAAAAATTAAAAAAAAGGATAGAAGCTCGTTATCCATTACAGCAATGAAGACACGCAAAAAGTAACTCATAAGCGGTGGTAACACTGAGATGAGTGAAAAAGCAAGTCATCACAAGTTAAAAAATAATAATTAAATGAGTATTAAATGAAAAAAGAGTAAATACGAATACTGAAAGGATAGAAAAGCAATTATGGAAAGACAGCTACACTTCCGGGCGCACATTTTCCCACGTGGGCACAAGCCAGTAACTGTATAAATGTAATAAAAATATCATCGTATGCAATTCATTCAATATTACAGAAGTAAACTAAAGCTCAATGTATATTTTGTACTCTTCCAAAACTTTGAAAATGAGAAATAATGGATTTCAAGTGAGTAATAACGGACTAACTTTATTATTTACTCAATCTAAAGCTGTCAACTTTTCATCTAGATTTATGCTTGTTTATCTATCTATTTATCCAATCTATCATTTTTAAGCCTAACTTTCTCTCTCTCTATATATACATACATATCAACATATGATAAATTACAGTCCTTCTGTCAGCTTCAGAAAAGGCAACAAGAAAATAATATTCAGCTGTTAAACAACCTTTCGAGAAATCTTTACCACGCACACAACGCACTGCAATTGCGATATCTATCCAAATGCGGTCCTGTTATGCACATCAAAGCATCAACATTTCTTTGGAGTAGGTTGTAGTATGATTAGCGATTCTTGAAATTAAACGTTTACAGTGGCTGAACAGAGGAGTGGCCAGTTCGAACTGTGACATGTTAGTCATTGAGTTACGAGAAGTACCCAGATTGTTGTCCATTGTGGTAGTGACCATCTGAAGATAATGAAAAATGACATCAGTCATCGACAGTATTCAATATCGATAGTAATAGCAATACACAATTAAATATGTGCTTGTTTAGCTGTTTTTAGTGAGTATATATGGTCAAGAGTGTCTGCACTACCTTCCAGTCAACTTACGAAAAATTGGTTTTCTGCAATAATTTATTAATTCATAAATACTTTTATAAATATTCTGTAGAAAGTTTTTGGGTATTTTTCAGTTTTGGCAAATTTGTTTTGGTGTTTGGGAAATCTCTTCAATCTTGCTAGAATGAAGCTTGAGAATCAGTGAAAAATACAATCGTTATAGTACAACACTTCCACTATTTAACTGTATAGTCTGTAAAAACCGTTGTCCTAATTTTTTTTTTATAGTCTGCAAAAACCGTTGTCCTAAACTACTTCGCAAGTAGTTCAATTGTAGGAAACTTCTATTACAAAATGTGGCTTAGTGCGTTTTTATGCAGTTCTACGATTTTTACTGCTAATTATTGCAGAAATTTAGATCACAGTTGTTTTTATCGTATATTTTGCCGGTGGTTTAAATATCGTTCATAAGCAAGCAACTGCTTGTTCTAATAGTAGAGCATTCTAGTTTCAACTAGTTTGCATTTTTAGTCAGATTTATGAAGAAATTCAAAGGGCAATCAAAATTTAGTAGTCTGCATTTGATGCAAATTTATTTTGCTGAAAGATTGCTATAAATTGCTATCAAAATGGATATGAAACCATTCTTGCTATTCATCAGATGGTGGCATTTTATAAGTAATGAGGTCGGTTCCTTCCACGCTCTCGAAAGTGTTTCCCAGCCTTATTTTCTTATGATAAATTCAAGATAGGCCGTAAGTTATTAAAATATATTTCTAATTAAAATGTGAACTTCACATTTGAAATAGCTAATTAATGCTACTGAAATTGGCAACAAGAATTGGAAATTAAAGACAAACTGCTGAGAACTATCCAGTAGTTTTGCGCATTACATTTTGCCTGTTTTCCTGCCTTTATTTCATTTTATTACAAGTTTAATTACGAAGACTTCACTGATTCGGATTCAGGAAAAAGTCGACATATCGAAAAAAGAATGATCCAGATAATATTCCTCAGCAAGTTAATGTTGCCAAGTGTCGAGCCAATGCTCGATCCGAGGTGATAAATCTAAAAATTTTATTAATCTGATTAAATGAATTGCGAGGCAGGCAGGCCAGCTATTTAGTGATTCAGCACTTAAGAAGCATCGATCAGACTTTGGATCAACTTTAGGGTCAAAAAAATTAAAGTTCAAATATCAAAGTATCAAACTAGATAAGATGTTTTAATACATGAAATGTGCACAGAAATATTATATAGTACTTTAGCTCTTATACATGTTTTTGTATTTAGAAAAATTATCAAATCACTTTAAAAACACTTACGTGTATCAGATTAAAGCGACATTATATGATTTATTTTACTGTATCCAGAAAGGTGTATCAGTACAAATTTTCAATTTCAATTTAATTTATGTATGGCCCTAATTATGTATTAGTTTTGCTGAGGACAGGTAGAACGATGGGTACGACGTGCGTTAGAAAAAGGAGTTCCAGGATTGCGCGAAGAATTTTTGAGCTTGAAGAGGTATTGTCCAGATGATATGACAACAAATGCATTTCAAGGCACTTACGAGACCGGGAAATCTCGGTACAAGGATGTTCCATGTCAGGATAAGTACCGTGTCGTGATTCATTGGCCTGGTGTAGCTGAGGATTATATCCATGCAAATTACATAGCCACACCAATTAACGAAAAACGCTTTATTTGCACTCAGGTTTTTCAACTTTTAGCATATTGCAAATGTTGAAAGTGATCAGAACTTCCACATTTACGAACATCTTAATAACTGATCGAGAAATCTAGCCTAAATTCTAAAATATTGTAATGTGGATAGTTCAGTTTTAATTATTTAGCATAAAGCTGAATTACAAATTTTTAGGGTCCCATGCCAAATAGCGTGATTGATTTTTGGCATATGGTAATACAAGAAGAATCTGATTGCATTGTCATGCTCACGAATACGATAGAAAAAGGCTTAAATAAGTGTGAACAGTACTGGCCAAATGACTGTGGACAAACTGCAACATACGGCGACGTTATTGTAACCAATGCGGGGGTACTAAATATTGCTATAAAATTTTAGTGGTCTATGGTAATAATAAAGAAAACTGGCGAAGCTAAATTGACGGAACAGTTTTCAGAATCTGTAACAACAAGTGGTTCGGAATGCTTTGATCATCGTAGTTCATGACTTCATCAAATAATTATGCAAACATAAATTGACAAAAACTTTGGGTACTGATTGGTTAAAAATGACTAGTTAAAATTCAAATTTGTTCACCCAAAATTATCATCCAAGAATAATTTGAAGTAACAAAGCTTATTAGGTACGATCATTGGCACCAGAGGAAACAACCGTACGGGTATGTATCCTTAAGGTACAGTGGAAAGATAGCACTGGTCGTGATCGAACACGTGAAATACGTCACTATCAGTGGGTGAATTGGCCTGATCGTGGAGTACCCCCATGTAGGCTTACTTCAATGGTTGGTAAAAGTGTGAAATTTTGTTTACGTTTGTTGAGGGTCTAGTAAGAAGTAAAATACATAAGCAATGTATTAATATTTTGGTAGTTAGCTATCTAAAATTAAAAATAAATAGATTATAAGTGAAGTGCTGAAAGCAACTAATTCTTGCCGAACTAATTACAAATATATTAGCACAGGTGCTGTTGTCTAATATTCGTGGTACAAAAAAACCAATCGTAGTACATTGCTCCGCTGGTATTGGTAGGACCGGTGCTATTGTAGCTATTGAATATATACTGGAAAAATTACAACAAGGAATTGCATGTGAATCGATGGATCAAATTCTTAAAGAACTTCGTAATCAACGGCCTTATACAATACAGAATGATATGGTATATTCTCGGAATATCACTTAATCAAAATATTTATCTCTATGAAAATTTACCAAATTTTCTAAATGTACAAAATTACCAATTATTTGTTTATTTTCCACCATTAAGTTCTTTTCGGATTGTTTTGTTTGCAGATAATTTGAGTTGTTAGTTCTTTTTATAGTTAAGAATTTTTACATTTTAAATATACTTGCTTTGATGTAGCTCTGTAAAGATACCAAATTCAAGGGATTATATTATTTTTTAATAAAATCAACGTTAGTCCAGCTGGACACATCACATTGTTGGTGACATTTGCATGGGAATAAAAATCCTGATATTATCATACTTTTCAGCAGTATCTCTTCGTGCACCGAGTGATGTTATTTTACTTTATTGATAAATACAAGGTATTTGCTGATAATGAGGAAGTAATGTCGAAGTACAAACAATTTGTAACTGATTATGATAAAGCTACTTATTGAAAAATCGTTAAAATTAAAATTTATGTGATATAATATGCCACATAAAATTAATTATGCTAAATACAATTAAATGCTATTAACGACTTAATATGTTTGACAGTTTTACAAGTCGAAAAAGAATAAATTGAGGATTATTTTTACCTTCGGTTCACGTTGAGTTTTGCCATCAAAAAACCCCAAATTGATATTGTCGGTTGTGACTTCATGTATATTTTCACTATAATCGTGGAGAAGCATTTTTATTTTTTGAATTTGTCATCGATAATATTTTTCGAGAAGTAAAATAGAAGCAAAGTTGATGAAGAATTGATTGAAGTATGAATAAACTTCAGATGATTTTTTGAAAAAAAAGGATTATTAAGTGATTCAGAAGTTGTTCATTTGTATAGATAAAAAATTCTCAGTTCTGAAAAATACCAAACTTTGCTAATTTCAATGCTCAAAATTAAATATGCTTAGCATCTGAATGAAAAAAGATAGCTTCGAATCAAAAATGAAAGTAATTTACAGTTTAGACTCAAATGTTTGTTTGCGAATTTTTGAAATGTGAATAAATTTTTGAGTAAATCCTGTATGAAAAAAAAAGCGTAACGTTTCTAATTTCACTTTGAACTTTAACTTTGACTTTAAATCTTAGAGCAGAGGAATTTCACTGCATCGTATTGAGAAGAATAATAGCAGAAAAATTCCACTTTGTTTGTTTGTTTCTGTATTTCATAGAAAAATGTTTGCTTTTGTATGAATAAAAATTACTACTATTCTTAAAGTAAGTATTGTAGAAGTTTTTTGTAAAACATTGACAAACAATTTAATGCTTTTTATTTTACTACACTTTGTGAACAGTTTGCAAGCATTCATTTTTTTACTGCAAAATTGCTGTGAGAATAAATGCAAATATGCATTTTGAATGTTTGGCAAACTTTGCAGCTATTGTCTTTCAGCAACTTTATAACATTCAAAATTTTGAGTTTATTTGAAAAGAACTGAAATGATTTGAAATCAAAACAGTTTGCAAATGCTTTAATTCATCAATTCCTCTGTAATTAAGAAGCAAGCAAGTACGAAACACGCAAATTTATTTTGATTCTGCAATCTATTCCAGAAATTTTTATAGAGTTAAATCGTATAATGTAAAAAAAAAGGAATTTATGATATATTAAATGAACTGAATGAAAGAGTTACAATAATTGCTACCATAAAATACAAAATCATGATAGTAATTACTATGATTATTCATCATGATATTAAAGTTAGTCACTCTTAACATCCACTTATTCCTATTCTTTGACAAAATTTATGAGTAAAATAAGTAGTCTACATGGAGAATTTTCAGTCTATACTAGAAATTTGCTTGATTACAGAAGACAAAAAATGCCTTCTATGATTAAATAACTAGGAAAGCTAATAACTCTCGAAGTACCGATGACACACACACTGGATATGCATTCATGGTAAAGCCATCGAAAAAATGCAGTCGTATTAGAGCTATCCATTGAAATTGACCAATCACTACAATGTAATGTCCAAAATTACATATTGATACATAGTTTTTGGAAAATTAATTAGTTAATTTTGTATTCGTTAATTATTATTCTTTTTTTAGAATTATTGAAAGCTAATTTACAGTTTATAATTTGCTTCATGAAACTTTATGCATGAATTGAATTATTTATTTTACAAAGATAACTTTTTAAAAAGCAATTATTTTGGTTATCCATTCAAATTTTCCAGACCACTGTTCAACTTACTCATTAACACACGCTACAAATGAGCATGAAACAGCAAAAAGATTGACGAGGTTGAGGCATCGGTGGTGGCGGCGGTGGTGGTGGTGGTGGTGGTGGCGGTGGCGGCGGTGGTGG